GGTTGGCACAGGATAGCAGATTCAGTGAGTATGGACTGAATGATTGTGAAATCTGCCATGGCCCAGATCCCTCTGGGCTGTCAGGTTTGGTGACATGTCTGTCAACCCTTGATGACACAGCTAGGTATATCTTGGCTCCTAGAGTGTCTCCAGTATCCAACCAAGAGGTGAACACACATACAGGCTTATTTATTTATTTTAATTTATTTTATTATTATTATTATTATTTATTTATTTTTATTAGTTGGAGGCTAATTACTTTACAATATTGTAGTGGTTTTTGCCATACATTGACATGAATCAGCCATGGATTTACATGTGTTCCCCATCCTGATCCCCCCTCCCACCTCCCTCCCCATCCCATCCCTCTGGGTCATCCCAGTGCACTTGAAGATTAAAACTTATTCTTGTGTGTAGATAAAAATAATCCAAGGGATTGATGACTTAGACTGGATGTAGAGTTTTTAAGTAAATGGGCCCACTTGATTTTTTTCATTAAAAGTTTTATCATATTCTTTAAGAACTAGCATATTTAATGATGGTGGCTGCTTTTAAAGATAAATAGCACAAAAACTATAACAACATACAATCTTGTGGTTTTGTGGATTATATGGTTTTCTCTGCTGATTATTTTATCTTCAGATAATGGTAAAATTTTAAANTCCTTCTATTCCTGCTTTCTGGAGAGTTTTAATCATAAATGGATGTTGAATTTTGTCAAAGGCTTTTTCTGCATCTATTGAGATAATCATATGGTTTTTATCTTTCAATTTGTTAATGTGGTGTATTACATTGATTGATTTGTGGATATTAAAGAATCCTTGCATTCCTGGGATAAAGCCCACTTGGTCATGATGCATGAATTTTTTAATATGTTGTTGGATTCTGTTCACTAGAATTTTGTTAAGGATTTTTGCATCTATGTTCATCAGTGATATTGGCCTGTAGTTTTCCTTTTTGTGTGGCATCCTTGTCTGGTTTTGGTATTAGGGTGATGGTGGCCTCATAGAATGAGTTTGGAAGTTTGACAGGCTTATTTATGTTGGCAGACATTTGAACGGAAAGAAGGGACTTTGGAGGCAGGGCTGTGCGATTGGGGTTGGGGTGGCTTCAGCAGGTACCTTCACCCCAAAATTGTCCACCTGCTGCAGGTTTTCAGCCAGCAGCCCTAGGAAGTCTTCATCCTTGTAGTCAAAACAATGGTCAAAGATCATGGAACAGATGATGTTGGAGACCAAGCAGTAAATCAAGAAGGTGGGGTGGAAGGATGTATCTGTGCCAAGGTCAAGAGAGGCAAGAAGTTCTCTCAGTCACTCTCCACTTGGCAGCCAGAGCACAGTCCCTTCCAAGCACAGATCTGACCACCTCACTCTCCTGCTCAAAGCCATTCCATGGCTCCCAGGTCCTCCCTCAGGAATTTGTTGTTGTTGTTCAGTCAGTAAGTCATGTCTGATGTTTCGTGACCCCATGGACTAGACCATGCCAGGCTTTCCTGTCCTTCACTGTCTCCTGGAGTTTGCTCACATTCATGTCCATTGAGTGATGAGAACCAACAGGGGTCTTATGCACGATTGTCCATCTCAGGGTCACTTGCTATGGATCCAGCCTGCAAAGTCCTGTGTAGTATCTCCCCACCTTGTGCCAGGGATCTCTGTGTCCTAATCTGTACACCCTGAGAATATGTTAAAATATCTTTCATGGCATAGGGGGCTTTGCATTTGGGACGAAGTTAAGTATCTTGAGGTGGGGAGATTAACCTGGATTATCTGGATGGACCCAGTGTAACAGTAAGAGTTTTTATAAGAGGGAGGCAGAGCGAATTCCCCAGTGGTCCAGTGGTTATGACTCCATGCTTCCACTGCAGGAGGCACAGGTTCTATCCCTCGTTGGGGAACTAAGATTCTGCAAGCCATGTGGTGTGTCCCCCCAGGAAAAAAAAAGGAGCCAGGCAGAAAGATCAGACATAGAGAAGATTTAAGGACAGTGACAGAGGTCAGAAAAGAAAGCAGATGCTATGCTCCTGGCTTTGAAGACTGAGGAAGGGGCCATGAGCCAAGAGATGCAGCATCTAGAAACTGAAAACGTGTAAGGTAATAAAAAGGAATAAAAAAGCTGTAAGATGATACAGCTGAATAAATAAATAAGCTGTAAGATAATACATTTGTGTTATTTGCAGGCACTGAGTTTGTGATTGTTTTTTATATCAGCCATAGGAAACTGATACATCATGTGACTTTCCATCTGGGGTCATCCCAGTCTATATTAACTTGCTAAGTCTGCTGTAACAAGGATCACAGAGTCATCAGAGTTGATTCCTTCTAAAAGCCATGGGAGAGAATCTATTCCAGGCCTCTCCCCTCGTGTCTGGGTTTGACTCCAGATGCTACCTCTAGATGGCTGTGTGACCTTGGGCAAGATCTTAACCTCTCTGTCATTCACTCCATTAACTGAGTGAGGAGTAGGTGATTTCCTCTGTGTAAAGCACTTCATGTCTCCCCATCAGTGATTCCTGGGCCTGGAATAAGACCCAAGTTCAGTGCCAGTTCACACAGCACAGCGGAACCCAGGACCTGGGTTAAGGAAAGTTCATGGTGGCCTCTCTCCAAGGTCAGGAAAGTACAGGTCCCACCTCTTCAAGAGATCAAGGGACACTGGGTTGAAGAAGTCTGACTCAACTGCTGGGATCAGAGTTTTGGGTCCTCAAGAGGTTTGTGTAACATTGCAAAAAGAGACTCCACCCTCCTTCTAAAGAGGAGAGACAGAGGGAGGTGGAAAGCCAGACCCAGGCCACGACACGTGGACACAGACAGAATCATTAGCATATTTGGTAAATACTAATGGAGCCTGTCAAAGGCTCAGGGGAGGCTGGAGACAGGCCAGCTAAGTGGACATGATCAAACTGCACACAGTCTCTGCTCCTGGAGCTCAGAGTTTAAGGAGTGAGACAGACACAGAGACACAGAGAGACAGTGGGAGAGGCACACACACAGATATGGACTGTCATTGGGGGATGGAGGAAAGTCCTGCTGCTGTGAAGATGGAGCAGGAGGCAGGGAGAAAACTCAGGGCATCAGAGATCTGAAGACCCCAGAGCTGTGTCTCTCACCCCAAGTATTTCGTTTCTCCTGCCTCTCCCATCTGTGGCTCTCACAGAAGGGAGGGCAAAGGAAGGGGAGCTGGAGAGAGAAAGGCTGAGTGTCTGCAAGCTCTGTAGTGACAGGGACTGTCTGATGCACGTGCGCGCGCACACACACACACACACACACACAGACTCACACACACGGACTCACCCCACCACCACCACCACCACGAAAACACAACACACCTTCAGGTGTGAGACACCACATAAATACATAGAAGTCCACACACGGGCAGAGACATATGTGTAAGCACACTCTCACTCATATACAGAAACACACATGGGCATGTTCACATAAATACAAACCTTCTTTCATGTGTAAGAATCACTCAAGCACACAAACGCAAGCAGGTATGCACCAAGGTATGTAAACACAAACCCACGAATACAGCTAAAGCAAGGAGACAATTGCTGGGGTCCACCCCCAGCAGGATCCAGGGGGTACCCTCGGGATGAACAGCGTCAGCGAGAGAAGACACGTGAGACCAGCTTAATAGGGCCAAGTCTGCGAGGGAGAGAGAGAGAAAGAGAGAGAGAGAGAGAGATAGTGACCAGATGGGGGGTGCAGCAGAGTCTGGCAATGCTTTATTTTTTACCATAGCTTTTATACCCTAAGTTAGTACATTTCTGAGGGGAAGATAGTTTAACATTACATCAGTTTCTCCTTTTGAAACCAGGGTGTTTTCTGCATACTTATTTGTTTATGAGGGTCTTGTACATTATCTTTTGGCCTTGGGGCCTATTAACATTTTATGCAAGTCAGGTGAATGTAAACCTATTTTCTGTTTCTATGGTGACCTTTATTGCAACGTAGAAGTCTCATAGGGCAACAGTACAGAGTAGAAGTATAACCTTGTTAACACAAAAATTAAATCCTTCTGCGGAAGTTGTCAGTTGAGTTTATCTAAGAAGTTTACCCCACACTGACTCTGCGACTTTGGTGAGGCAGCCCCTGCCTAGCCTCCTGGCTAATAATTAACAACTGTTTCATTGTTATCACACTAGGGCTAAGCTCTTATTTTTCTAGATCTATAACTATAAAAATGGTTTCTATAACACAACCTTAGCACATTAAAAGCAAAAACACAGCAAGCAAAACACAGCAAGCAAACATCAACCCAATAACCGCCTTTAGAATAATTTTTCTTATGTTTTCTAATAGGACTCCTTCACCCCTCAAAAAGGCTCTATGTCTATTAGGGCTTTTATATAATCGGGTTCTTTATGCTGTTTTATGATTGAGGTATTATGAGCAGTCATGCATATTAGTACCAAGGATATAGACACATTTGCCAAACAAACTAAAATACCAGCAAAGGAGTTTAAATTAAAACACTCCTTTCACCCTGGATAATCTCATAAAATACCACCACCTGGGAAACTTATTGATTAAAGTTCTAAATTGATTCTTATTTGGAAAGAGATCGGGGAAGGCCTTCTGACTGTGTCACAGAAATTAGGGAGTAGTTCATCTTTAAGGTGAGCACCGGGGGCAGCTTTTCTGAATCCCTGAAAACCTGATCCACCTTGCCTGTCAGGTTTTCTCCCTCATGACCTTGTCATGGGTAGGATCTCATGTGTTGGCTCCTGGCAGACAACGGGTGCTCCCCATACCCACAAAAGTCAACACACTCATGGGGACCTTGTTATGGCTACCGGGGTGTCTCTGCCAGCATCTAGGGAGGGGCTATAGAGGTATCAGGGGAGCAGGTCAGCTGACCCCGGGAGCAGGAAGTATGTGCTCCTTCTGTTTTGAGTTCACACTCTCAGAGGATGACAAGGTATGGGTGATGTGACATAACTGGGTGTGGAGGCAGGCTTAGCATAAAAGGCTCAGCCAGAAGCCCAGCAGGTTGGGAGACATTTGGACTGCGGCCATGGAGCTTAGCGTGCTCCTTCTCCTTGCTCTGCTCACCGGACTCTGGGTCCTCCTGGCCAGAGGCCGCCCAAAGGCCCATGGCCGCCTCCCGCCTGGCCCCCGTCCTCTGCCCTTCCTGGGGAACCTTCTGCAGATGGACAGAAAAGGCCTGCTCAAATCCTTCCTGAGGGTGAGACTCAGATGTGCAGGGTCTGAGGGTGGCTCCTTGCCTCCGTCCTTGGGGATCATTCATCAGGAAATGTGAGGCATCCTTCCAGGCTCAGGGGTGGGCTGTGGGAAGTTTGGCGAGGAAGGGATGTGGAACTGAAGTGTGGTGGATGGTGATCAGGCAGTCAGAGGTGTACCTTGCTCAGATGGAAGTGTGTGGGCACTGTCCTTGGAGAGGAGAGGGCGGGCGTGAAGTGGTGTCTGGGTGTGAGCAGGGGGTATAGTAATCCCTGTTCCTCTGTCCCCTTCTCCCGAGTCCCTGCCTGCCACAGGGAGAGAGAGAGAAGGGTGGTGGTACCAGTCAATAGGTTTCTCCTCTGCCAACAAAAGCTGTGAAAGATTGGCCCCAGCCAGGGCCAGACAAAGGGGAGGAGGGAGAGGGAGCAGAGAAGGCCAGGTCCCAAGTTCTTGCCAATCGTTAACATGAACGTGCAATGAGTAGCTGNGCCCCAGCCAGGGCCAGACAAAGGGGAGGAGGGAGAGGGAGCAGAGAAGGCCAGGTCCCAAGTTCTTGCCAATCGTTAACATGAACGTGCAATGAATAGCTGATTCTGGAGTGTTTACCAGGCCCTGTATCACGGCTCTCTAGGCATGATTTCATGATGGATGATCTATTTATGTATCAATAATGGAATCCATGGGCTTCCCAGGTGGTGCAGTGGTAAAGAATCTGCCTGTCAGTGGGTTCAAATCCTTGCTCGGGACTATCCCTTGGAGTAGGAAACGGCAACCGACTCCAGTAGTCTTGCCTGGAAAGTTCCATGGACAGAGGAGCCTGGGGGGCTACAGTCCATGGGGCTGCAAGGATTCAGACACAATTGTGCAACCGCGCACATGAACCGTGTAATCTGCACCCACGAGCCCACTGCCCAGCAGGTCAGGCTTAGGGAACACTGGACAGTAACCCCCAGCAGCCCCAGTGCCTCTGTCCCATCCCCCCAACCCTGCAGTGACCACACTTCTGAGTCTCCGGCTTGCCATCTGTTTTGTGTGTTTTTGCTCTTTTGAGCTCTGCTGGTCCTTTGCTGTGGTGTGTGAACTTCCTCCAGTTGAGGTGTGCCAGCTTCACTTGTAACGCATGGCTCTAGAGCGCGCAGGCTCAGTAGTTGTGACTCGAGAGCTCTCTAGTTGCAGCAGTCTGGTTTAGTTCCTCTGTGGCATGTGGGATCTTAGTTCCCCGACCAGGGATCGAACCCATGTCCCCTGCATAGGAAAGTGGGTTTTTAACCACTGGACCACCCTTGATTTTAAGGAAGAGTGTTTTGTCACAGATGTGGAGGCCCCGAGTGGGTATTATTTAGTTTCCATCACAAGGGTGAACACTATGGAGTTTGGCGCAAATAACTGGACTTAGTTTCTTCACTCAGAATTAAGTGGCTAGGATTTATCTGTATTGTGGAGCGAATTCATCAGGTCGTGGTTACAACAGCTCGTGGGCTAAAAGAGGAGTCGCCCTCACCTTAGAGAAATAGAGAGTGAGGTCAGCCCGGGGAAGGCACTGGTCCGTAGTTACACCCTGCGACTTCAGAGAGGGGATGTGCAAGTCCAGCATGGAGGCCTTTTTATCTCCTTCATAGATGGACGCTGCCTAATAATTTGTTATTTTATTTATTGTTATCACATGCATGCTCAGTTGTGTCTGACTCTTTGTGACCCCATGGACTGTAGCCTTGCAGGCTGCTCTGTCCATGGGAGTCTCCATGCAAGAATACTGCTGTGGATTGCCATGTTCTACAACAGGGGATCTTCCCAACCCAGGGATGAAAACCCGTTCTCCTTGGTCTCCTGACAAGTTGGGGATCACTAAATCCTTTGGGAGTTTAAGGCATGGTAGACCCCCTCCTCTGTCAATATTCACATGCATTTTGCATAAATTTTTACTAGTTCCAGACCCCCTAAATCTCTACTATGGCTCTTGCAAGGATCCTCTGTATGTCCATGATCCTCTTTTTTTCCCGTTGTGTCACGGGGCATGTGGGATCTTAATTCCCCAACCAGGGATTGAAGTCATGCCCCCTACCGTGGGAGCTTGGAATTCCAACCACTGGACCATCAGGGAATTCCCCATGACCCTCCATTCTCATTGTGTCTTTGGAGAGAGAGAGAGAGCAGTTGANCAGGGAATTCCCCATGATCCTCCATTCTCATTGTGTCTTTGGAGAGAGAGAGAGAGTGGTTGAGAGAGATAGAGGGAGGGAGGGAAAGAGAGGTCATAGGTTAGTAGGTGTCATGATTTACTTCCAAATCACTCTGGAGTCAGATGGATGAGAGTTTGTGTTCCAGATTCAACTCTTACTCATTGAATCTTAGCTTCTCTTCAGCAAGATGAGGTTGTGATGATAAGAATGCTTGCCTCGTAAGAGACTTGTGAGGACTAGATAGTGCCTAGAGCTTGGTATACAGTAAGTGCTCATTAAAAGGACGTTACTCAATCTATTCATTTATTTATTCATTCATTCAATGGTAACTTACTGGGCACCTCTGTGTGCCAGGAAACATTCTAGGCATTGATGATGTGGCATTAGACAGGGCACACAAACAGACAAGGAAACAGGTTGGTAAGAACTATGATTACAATAAAACAAGGTGATATTTTCAAGAGTTGGGGGAGCCAGAAACCAGTGGTCTGTGACAACCTAGAACAGTGGGATGGGGTAGGAGGTGGGAGGGATGTTAAAGAGGGAGGGGACATAGGTATACCTATGACTGATTCATGTTGACATATGGCAGAAACCAACCTAATGTTGTAAAGTCATTATCTTCTAATTAAAAATAAATAATTTTTTAAGAAAAGGGACAGGAGCTACTTGAAGCTACTTTAGAATGAGTGGCAAAGGCAAGGCTCCATCTTGCCTTGTTGCTGATCAGACACCCTGAAAGATGCCTGTGGAAGATATCACTGAGCGACAGGTGTCAGTGGCAGACCTCAGAAGCAGGAGCAAGCTCAGCATGTTTGGGGAGCCACAGGGAGCCTGGATCTGTGTGATCGAAGGGTCTGTGTGAGTGGGTGGAGATGTCAGAGGGGTGATGGGTCAACACTATGTAGGGCTCTGTCCACCATGGGGAAACTTGAGGTGTCACTCTCAGGGTAGTAGGAGTGCTGGATGGTTTGAAACAGGTTAGGTATATCAATTAATTTACATTTTAATGAGGTAGCTCTGGTTTCAAGATAGGGTGGGGTGTGTAGTGAAAGGATTGTGTGTAGCACAGGAAAGGAAGTTAGGAAACCAGCAAAGAGGCTTGCAGACGTCACGGTGAGAGAGTTTTCAATAAACTTAACCTTTTTATAATTTTAAGTCCACTGTTTAATCAATTTTTGAAATTTCGGTATCATCAATTTCCCAAGTTTTGCTGATTTCTGCTGTGCAGCAAAGTGATTCCATTGCACATATATATGCTTTCCATTTTAAAAGCTTCTTTTCCATTATTGTTTATCGCAGGATACTGAATGTAGTTCCCTGTGCTATACAATAGGACTTCATTGTCTATCCATTCCATGTCTGAAAACTTATATCTGCTATGCCCAGCCTCCCACTCCATCCAGTCTTCCCGTGACAACAACCAGTCTGTTCTCTATGTCTGCAATTCTGTTTCTGTTTCTTAGGTATGTTAATTTGTATCATATTTGTTTCATTTGTGTCACTTTTTAAATTAATTTTTTTTACACTGTGTTACCTTACTTTAATTATTATTTCTTTGGCCACATTGTGCAGCATGCAGAATCTTTGTTCCCTGGCTGTGTCATACTTTACATCCCACATATAAGTGATATCATATGGTGTTTGTCTTTCTTCTTCTATAACTCAACTTGTAAGTGAAGTTTAACCTTTAGGGTAAAGTACACAAATCCTAAGTGCTCAGTTCAGTGAATTTTCTCAGAAGAACATACTAATGGAGTTGACATGCAGATACGTAACAACTTGGCTCATGCCCAGAAACCTCCTGAAGTCCCCCTTCCAGTCACCACCCTCCTATTATTCTCACACCACAAGTTCCTGTTATCTGTTACTGAATTTCATATAAATAGAATTATGACATATGAAGTCTTCTGGGTCTAGTTGCTTTCACTCAACATTACATCTGTGAGTTTCATTCTTGTTGTTGGTTGTAGCAGTGGTTTGTTTTTTTCATGGCTGCATAGTAGTCCACATTATGAATTCATCACTAGTTGTTTATTCCCTATGTTGCAGAGCATTTTATTATAAGGCAACTATGAATCTCCTTGTTTCTTATTTTGCTGAGCACATGTATGCATTTTGGTTGAGTGTGTTTCTGGGAATGAAGTGGCTGAGCTACTCAGTGTACATGCCTTCAACTTCAGTAAATACTTTTGAGCTGTTGCCCCAGTGGCAAAACTTGATGTTATGATCTTTCAAATTTCATGATAACCCCCAGAAAGCTATCACTTTAGCTTTTTGCCCCACAAGTGGGTGGATGGTTCTCTGGAGAAATTGCCAGGATGCAGATGGGGGTTGAAGGTGGGTCACAAGATGGATGATTTTTAAAAAAATATTTTATTTATTTATTTTTCCTGTGCTAGTTATTAGCTGCTCTTCAGTGTGGCATGCAAAGGCTTAGTTGTGGCATGTGGGATCCAGTTCCCAGAGCAGGGATTGAACATGGGCCCCTGCATTGGGAGCTCAGAGTCTTAGCTAGTGGACCGCCAGTGAAGTTCCAAGAAGGATGATTTTTTAGATGATATGCCAGTGAGATCTCACCAGACTCAACGAATATCACCTGGGCTGGAGTGAAATTATTAATAGGAATATTTAACCACCTGTGCTTCTTAGGGGGCTTTCCAGGTGGGGCTAGTGATAACGAACCCACCTGCCAATGCAGGAGATGTCAGAGACGTTGGTTTGATCCCTGAGTCAGAAAGATCCCCTGGAGGAGAGCATGGCAACCCACTCCAGTATTCTTGCCTGGAGAATCCTATAGATAGAGGAGCCCGGGGGACTATGGTCCATAGGATCGTAAAGAGTTGGACCCGACTGAAGTGCCTTAGCACACACACACGCTGCTTGACACCGACCAAGCCAACAAGTGTGGACTGGGCTGGGTCATGGGTTAATCTTTTAGTTGCTGGGTTCTGGGAAGCAAAAAGGCAGACTGGGGTGTAAGGTCTTGGGTCAGGGGCTAGTTATCGATCTTTTGTAAGTGTTTAGTTACCAATCTATATGTTAGTGTTTCAGGGCTTCCCTGCTGGCTTGGATGGTAAAGAGTTTGCTTGCAATCCAGGAGACCCAGGTTCGATCCCTGGTTTGGGAAGATCCCCTGGAGAAGGGCATGGACACCCACTCGAGTATTCTTACCTGGAGACTTCCATGGAAGGAGAAGTCTGGTGGGCTACAGTCTATGGGGTCGCAACGAGTCAGACACAACTGAGTGACTGACACACACACACAAGTGTTTTCCTGGTTTAAAAATGGAGATGGCAACAGCGGTGCATGCTGACTAATAGCAGCCCTGGCTGTGGGTGTGCTTGGCAGTTCCAACAGAAATATGGGGATGTCTTCACGGTGTACCTGGGGCCGAGGCCAGTGGTCATCATATGTGGGACAGAGGCCATTCGGGAGGCCCTGGTGGACCAGGCTGAGGTCTTCTCTGGCCGAGCGAAGATCGCCGTTATTGACCCAATTGTCCAAGGAAACGGTAAGGGCCTCAGGGCTGCCGGGAGTGGACAGGGGATGAGGATGGGGACTGGGGTGGGTGAGTTTGGGAAGGGAAGATAGGGGGTGGAGCGGGACTCGGAGTCTCCTTGAAAATTCCTCTGTCGCCCAAGCCTCTCCTAAACCGTAGGTGTTATCTTTGCCAACGGGGAACGTTGGAAGGCCCTTCGGCGATTCTCTCTGGCCACCATGAGGGACTTCGGGATGGGAAAGCGGAGTGTGGAGGAGAGGATTCAGGAGGAGGCTCAGTGTCTGGTGGAGGAGCTGCGGAAAACCCAGGGTGAGCCCTGGGGCGGGGGTGGGCAGGAGAGAAACACGGGGAAGGAGTGTGATCACAGTAGCCAAAAGAGAGAGGGTATAGGTGGGCAGAGAGAGAGAGAGAGATGGAGAGACAGAGAGGAGACAGAGCTTGGGAGGCCCGCAGAGGAGCAGGGACCCAGAGAGTGGCAAGGAGAAGAGGCAGAGGTGGGTAGGTGAGAAATGTAGGGGGCAGGAGAGATACAGGCGTGTAGTGTCAAGAGGAATGCAAAGACGACTCAGGCAGTAAATAGCACGTTAGTTGCCTATGTTCAAAGGAACCAGTTCGTGGTTTGATTGTATCTGTCAAGGGCCAAAATGTGACTTCAATAAAAACAAAGTAAAGAGAAAAAAAGCGAAAACAGACATTTCAAAAAAAAGGACATACTGTGTTTTCCTTTCTTTGGGTGAACAACTGGCATTGAGCACAGGGGCAGTTGGGGTTTTCTGCTGTTAGAAAGTCAGATGGGCACTTCTGGGTGCTTTAGGATTCCTCAGAGACATCCTGTCTGAGACATAGAGATGACAAGATGCTTTCTTAAGAGATTTTGAGACATAAATGGAGAGTCTGGGAGGAAGAGGCAGAGCCACGGGCAGCTCTAGAGGTATAAGGATGGAAGGACTCAGAATAAGACAAGAGGAGAGAGAGTGATTCAGATGGAGACACAGAGAGGAAGAAAGAGACAGACATGGAGGGATCGAGGCAAAAAGAGGAGACTCAGAGAGACAGGAAGGAAACAATGGCAGGGAGAAACTGAGGTATGAAGATTGAAGAGAGACAGACAGGCTCAGGAAAGGGTGTGCAAGGGAAAAAGAGACAGTGGACAGAAGAGACCCAGGGAGAGGCCGCACTGACCTACACTCCTGGGTGCACAGCCCTCCCTCCCTCCGCCTGGGGCGAGCTTGGCACATCCAGACACAACAATCAAGGGCAGAACAGTTCCCAAAGGACCAGAGCACTCTAGAGATGGTTGAAAAAAATGGGGGTAGGTGGAGAAGGGCAGACAGTTAAGGATCAGAACAGAATTTTGTCAATGGCACCTGCAATTGATTGAACACATGCTCTGGTGAGATGAGAATTTAATAAAATAATATGTGAAGTGCTTAGAATAGGGTCTGGCACAATTTCTAGGCTAGCGAGTGTTGGTTGTGATGAGGCTGTTTTTTTTAAATTGTGACTGAGTGATAGAGGAGAGTCACACAGAGACAGCTCCCCTGGGCCTTTGAGTCTGTGTCCTGCGACCCACCCCTTTCCGTCTAGGAGCTCTCCAGGATCCCGTCTTCTACTTCCACTCCATCACCGCCAACATCATCTGCTCCATTGTCTTCGGAAAACGATTTGACTACAGAGATCCTGAGTTCCTGAGGCTGCTGGACTTGTTCTTCCAATCTTTCGTGCTCATCAGCTCCCTGTCCAGCCAGGTCCAGGAGGGCAGACCTCGGGTGGACATCCAGGCAGGGGAGAGGGGTGATATGCTTTTGGGAACCGGAAAGGCAGCTTCCAGCCAGAAGAGGGGCAAAGAAAACAGAGAGAGAGAGAGAGAGAGAGAGAGAGAGAGAGAGAGAGACAGAGACAGGGAGAGACAGAGAAGCAGAGCGACAGAAAAATAGAGAGACAGAGAAACACGGAGACAGAGCTGTCACTGTCCCTTCTTGGCAGCCCCGGATCTTGGCCAGACTCACCCTTGTACTCCGCCGCTGCCGTGGCCTCGGATCTCATGGCCGCCCCCACAAACACGCCATGCTGCCAGCTGAGAGCCTCATAGACCAGAGGGACGCCTTTAGCAGGAGAAAGAAACACTCCTTAGAGGCTTTGACCCCCAGCCCCCTGGGCAGCGATGCCATCTCCCAAGTGGAAAGATGTGCTGTGTGTCGTCTCTCTTCTAAAGGGGCTGATGCTGCAGCTCCAGAGCAAAGGGCGGACCTGCCACATCAGAGTCATGGCAGGGGGCCATGTGGCCGAAGTCAGACTGGGAGCCACATCCCTGGGACGAGGACCCAGGAGTTCTAGTGGCCAGAGACTAAGTTCTATGCCCGAGCTTGCTCATTACCCTGTCATTTGCGAAAGGGAGCTCCGTATCCCTGACACCTTCCAACCAGGTCACAGAACGTGAGCCCTTGTAGTGACACGTGCCCCCAGAGTGACACACCCGTGTCCCAGCCCAAGGGCCCGGGAGTCTCACCAATAGGCCGACGCCCTCCGAAGATGATGCCCTCAATGGGCACGCCCTCTGGAGACTCCCAGTCAGGGTCAATGATGGGGCACTGGCTGGCCGGAGTGCAGAACCGCGAGTTGGGGTGGGCGCAAGGCTCCCCTACAGCAGCAAGGGAAGACGGCCCCTGAGCATCTGGCCCAGCACACANTGTTATCAACGCCTGACACAGCAAGGATGATGCAAGAGGTGGAAAGAGGCAGAGAGAGGTTTGAGTAGAAGAGATAAACTGGCTGGGGTAGGCAAGGACAGAGCAGAGGGTAGATCAGCAGGAGACCCATGGAGATGAGGAGAGGTGGAAAGGAGAGAGAGACAGGTGGGCCAGAGACTAACAAGAAAAAACAAGGAGAGGGGGAAAGATGCAGAAAGACAAAAATGTGATCTCTTACACAAGGGAGACACAGAAGCAGTGAGTGAGGGGCTCAGATACAGAGTGAGAGCCGGAGGGAGACAGAGACAGAGAGATGGAGAGAGAGACAGAGACAGGGAGACCAACACCCCAGAGAGGCAGAGAGAGATGGAGAGAGACAGAGACAGGGAGACCAACACCCCAGAGAGGCAGAGAGAGATGGAGAGAGAGACAGAGACAGGGAGACCAATACCCCAGAGAGGCAGAGAGAGATGGAGAGAGAGACAGGAAAACAGAGGTCGCTTGTGAGGGTACTGGGCAGAAGGGCTGTCCCTCCCTGTGACCCGCTAGCTGAACCCTGCAAGGGCCTCACAGTCCCTTCTCTCCTGCAGCTGTTCGAACTCTACCCCAGCTTCCTGAAGTACTTTCCTGGCTCACACAGGCAAATCTACAAAAACCTGCAGGAAATCAATGTCTTCATTGGCCGCAGCGTGGAGAAGCACCGTGAGACCCTTGACCCCAATGCCCCCCGGGATTTCATTGACTGCTACCTGCTCCGCATGGAAAAAGTAGGATTTGGGAGAGGCAATGGGGTGGAAGGGAGGAGAAGAAAAGACAAAGGGTGAAAAGGGTGGGGAAAGGAGTAGAGCAGTGGGGGGAAGGGAGAGGGGAGGGGAGATTTGGAAGGGAGTAGAGGGAGAGAGGAAAGATGGGGGAGTTGCTGGGGAGGAGACAGAGGTCCAGGAAATACAGGACAAGGGGAAAAATGCAGCAGCTGGTGAAAAGAGTCACAGAGGCAGAGAGACTGGGAGAGGAAGGGGGACAAACACACCAAAGAGATGGAAGATGATTGAAACAGAGCAAGACAGAGCGAAGGGAGATTGAGACCGAGATAGAGAGACGGTGGGACACACATGGCATAGAGGAAAGGGGAAATGGCCAGAAGGTGTAAGACCCAGAAACAGGTGGAGGCACCCGGAGAGAAGAGGTGTGGGCAGCAGGGCTCCCACCCTCCCCTGATGTGAACCCCACCCGTCTGGATTCAGGATAAGTCCGACCCCCAAAGCCAGTTTGATCATCAGAACCTCATCATCTCTGTTCTGTCGCTCTTCTTTGCTGGCACGGAGACAACCAGCACCACGCTCCGTTACGGGTTCCTGCTGATGCTCAAGTACCCGCACATCGCAGGTGGGCAGGCCGGGGACGGACACTGCGAGGGGCTTCTGACCCCTCTGCAGGTCCAGAAAAGGGGCTAGAGGTCTTTGGTGAAGGAGAGAGGCAGCTTTCCCCTCTTATACCAGGAGAGCCTGTCGGTTGTTTTTGTTTTTCTTTTTCGCTTGGCCCCTGACCAAGCATGGAATTTGCACCCCATGCTGTGGCAGTGAGCAGCCTTAACCTCCGGACCACCAGGGAAGTTCCCTGAGCAGTGCAGGTTTTGAATGATCTACCCAACTAAACCAGCCCTGTTGGTGGATGGATGAATGAAGAATCTGTCAATCCGGGGAGTTCCCTGGAGGTCCAGTGCTTAGGACCTAGAACTTTCACTACCATGGCCCTGGGTTCAATCCCTAGTTAGGAAACTAAGATATGGCAAGTAGCGCAGGGTGGCCAAAAAAACACAAAATCTGTCAATCTGTTTTCCCACTGTTTCTTCTGTCACTTAAAGATTGACCCACTCGTTTACCCATCTGTCCTTTCAACTCATCAATCAACCTGTGCACTCAGATTCTTTCATCTGTGATTCATCTAGGATATATACATGCATGCTTCATTTGGACAAACTGATTCATCTATTCATCATTTGAAACAGTGATTCATTGAATGAAGTGTTTGTCACTGATTCATTTGTTTCTTCATTTATTCATGCATCCATCTGTTTTTCTAAAACTAGGTTACATACATTAATCCTTCCATTGCTTGTTTTTCATTTCATCCTTCATTCATCTATCTTTTCATTTATTACTTATTAATGCACTCATTTATTCACCCTTGATTTATATATCTAAGATTCAATCCATCCAACCACCCACTGATTCCTCTGTTTGCCTGTTCCTTTAAATGCATTCATTCACATGTTCTTCCATAAGTTTAGCCATCCAACCATTCATATGAGTTATTGGTTCATCAAGTTCATTTATTTTTTTGTCTATGGATCATTTAGTAATAAATTAGTCTTCAATAAGTTAAGAATACATCCATTCATTAGCATTCTTCCATTTACCAGTCTTTCCACTCATGAATTGGAGAAGGAAATGGCAACCCACTGCAGTGTTCTTGCCTGGAGAATCCTGTGGACAGAGGAGCCTGGTGGGCTGCTCTGCATAGGGTCGCACAGAGTCGGACATGACTGAAGCGACTTAGCATGCATGCATACATTGGAGAAGGAATTGGCAACCCACTCCAGTATTCTTGCCTGGAGAATCCCCATGAACAGAGGAACCTGGCAGGCTGCAGTCCATGGGGTTGCAGAGTCGGACATGAGTGAAAGACTAAGTGTAGCACACAGCTAATTAACAACAATGTTATGATAACTTCAGGTGAACAGCAAAGGGACTCAGCCATAGCGTGTGCTTGGCTTCTCTAAGGAATTTAACCGGATGCAGTTAAAAGCGTTATTCTAAAACCATTGCGCAAAAGAGGATTTGGAGAAACCTCCCGATGTTTCAATTGACTTTAGCATGAAAAGAAGTGTGTAATGGGTAATACATGCTAGAATCTACCCAAGTTGCTTTTCGTTTGTTTAAACATTTCTAATTTTTATTTATTTGGCTGTGCTGGGTGTTAGTGGTGGCATGCAGAGTCTTTAGTTTGCAGCGTGGGGGATCATTTGTTGTGATANAAGTCTATCCCATCCTGAGCTCTGCTCTCCACGACTCGCATTACTTTGAGACACCAGATGACTTCAACCCTAACCACTTTCTGGATGCCAGTGGGGCGGTGAAGAAAAATGACGCTTTTATGCCCTTCTCCATAGGTAAGCTGGGCCTGCATTCCAGATTGCAGGTGCCATGACCTCTTGAGGACAATCGAAGAGAGGTCTTTGGTCATTGAGCAGTTTATCTATGCCAGTTGCTTTACCTGTATTAACTGATCTCATCTTCACACCAACCCTAGAGGGGGCTTGAGAACCAAGATCATATCCCAAAGGCACAAATCTGTAAGGGCAACAAGTATACCTCTCTACACACAGGTATCAAATCTGTTGAGCACCATTATGAGCCAAACATTTCACCAGAGGTTGAAGATAACGAACCCGACAAGTCACAAAGAGACGCAGTTTTTCTTTGGGTTGTGATAAGGCAAAGTGTGTGCATCCGCTCCCAGTGCACACTGTGATCCGAGATTCTGTGCCTTGTGTCCACATTGTAATCCTCTGTTCTGTCCCCACAGGGAAGCGTATCTGTCTTGGCGAAGGCATCGCCCGCACTGAATTATTCCTCTTCTTCACCACCATCCTCCAGAACTTCTCCGTGGCCACCCCCGTGGCCCCTGAGGACATTGACCTTACTCCCCGGGAGAGTGGGGTGGGCAAAGTGCCCCCGAACTACCAGATCCAGTTCCTGCCCCGTCAAAGAGGCTGAGGGAAGATGATCAAGGATACCAGGGTTACGTGTGTCCCCACGTCTGCAGAGACTGGTGGCCTCTGCACTCTCTCCCTGTCTTCCTGCCTCTGATCAGGGTGTGCTATGATCCAGCATCCCTCCCCTCCGTGAATGCTACCTCCTTGGGAAAGTCCCATCTGCATCTCACCTCCTTCCGTCCTTCTGAAGCTCTTCTAAACTCAATGAGGTGTTTCCTTTCAGCTATTAATAGAATTTCACAAGTGATGTATACATATATACATAAATATGTGTATATATGTATATGTATATATATGTACATGCATATGTATATGTATATACTTGGTTGAATAAATGAAGCAAAGAATGAAAACTTGCCTCAGTATCTCTCAGCATTTCTGCCGTTGAGGCCAGAGCTTACCGAAGTGACTAGACCCCTCTTGAAAATAACCACAGCCTCCCTTTCTCCACACCTTGGGCTCCATGATCTGTGCATCCATGAGCTCACTTGAGTCCTTCCAGTAGCCCTATGCAGTGAGTACAATGATCATGCCCATTGTACAGATGAGTAAACAGAGGCCATGCAATGGCCAGCATGGTCTGAGGTGACCTGGCTAGTGAGTGGAGAAGCAAGATTCACACTCTGGATCCCTGGCTCTTGAACCCAAACTCTTCACACAGCTCCTTTCTGTCCCCAAGATAGACTTTAAAGTGAAGATGAAGTTCATATCTTGTAACTAACCAGTCTCAAGTGTATAACGAGATGGCACTTAGTTCATTCACAATCCTGGCCATCACCAGCACTATCTAGTTTCAAACATTTTCATCACCCAGAAGAAAACCTGGTACCCTTATTAGACATTCCCCATTTTCCCTTGTGCTCAGCCCCTGGAAAAATCAAATGCTTGCTGTCTCCATGGATTTGCTATTCTGCACATTTCATATAAACGGATCATACAATGTGTGTTCTTTCATGTCTGGATTCTTTCACGTAGTGTGATGCTTTTAAGGTACATCCATGTTGTAGACTGTGGGTTACACAGAGTGGTCCTCCTTATTTATCTTCCTGCTTCTCCTGCCTCCCTCCTCCCATGAAGGACCTCAGCCCATGGCCCCTGAGTTGTGTGGCTCTATACAGGGGTCTTGGATTCCCTGACATCCCCCCTCCAATGCCCCGAGTGGCAAATAAACATCAGAAACCTGACATCCCTGGGTCCAGTGGTGATCCCTGCCAGCTTACAAATGACTCATTGATTGTCAGGTCACTGGAGATCATTCCAGAAGACGAGAACTGCTTCATCTCAATGCCTGTTCCTTGAGGGAAAACCTATTGTCTTGTTTAATACTCTACCATCAGCACCTGAGGCAGTGTGTGGTAGGTGACAGGTATCTAAAATATTTGCTGATGGATGAATGAACAAAGCAATAAACCCCTAAACCCAGACCACATGGAATTAGGTCTTCCATCAGACCCCGCCTCCTCCTCTACACCTCACTCTCCACAGATGTGCAGACAAACCCAGTGGGCACAGGACGCCCACTTCTGCTGGCCTGCTAATCTTAATCTCTTAGTTGCGATGCCACTCACTGATAAAATGTCTGAGAGCCACCCTTGCAGGGCCACCACCCTAAGTGCAGCCTCCACAATTTCCTTCATCTGACACCATCCCTCTTCCTGGGGGGATGTGCTCTCTGTTCAGTGGCATCGCCCACCAAGACAACTCTAGCCCATCAGGGACCCGTGGGGAGCTGGCTTGGGATCTGCTGAGATGATAAAACTTCGTGGCCTCTGTAACCCCTGCAAACTTTGGGCTCTCTCTTGTCTCTGTAGAGTTAACAGGAGCTCTGCCAGGGCAGGATCCTGGCACAACCTCCACAACCATCAGGCAAAATAACAAAGAACAGAGACACCTACATTTTTAGAGGAACGTCAGAAGGAAGGCAGGCATGGACCATGGCTCTCTCTGCCATCCTGCTCCTCATTCTTTTCACTGGCCTCCTGATCCTCTGGGGCTGCCCTGCCTCCCGGGGCCACCTGCCCCCTGAACCCTGGCCTCTGCCCTTCCTGGGAAACGTTTGCAAATGAACCCCAAGGATTTACTCAAGTCATTGCAGGTGGTGAGATGGAAAGGGCACCAGGGGGTGGAAAGCAAGAGGTGGGTGAAAGGGAAACAGAAAACTCTCTGGAAATTGAACAAAAGCTTACAAACCTTGCCCCAGAAATGAGCAAGGTACATCCACCCCACATTTGGCACTTACTTTCAAAGAGTTTCTAAATCTTCTAAGAGTCTCCTGTGGCTACAGGTTAAAGGCTAATCCCACACAACTTTATTGCAATGAACACACGTGTCTGGACTTTGGGGTGTGACGAGGCAAAGTGCATCTGCTCCCAATGCACACCGTGATCCGCGATTCTGTGCCCTGTGTCCACATTGTGAACCTCTGTTCTGTCCCCACAGGGAAGCGTATCTGTCTTGGTGAAGGCATCGCCCGCACCGAATTATTCCTCTTCTTCACCACCATCCTCCAGAACTTCTCCGTGGCCACCCCCGTGGCCCCTGAGGACATTGACCTTACTCCCCAGGAGAGTGGGGTGGGCAAAGTGCCCCCGAACTACCAGATCCAGTTCCTGCCCCGTCAAAGAGGCTGAGGGAAGATGATCAAGGATACCAGGGTCACGTGTGTCCCCACCTCTGCAGAGACTGGCCTCTGAACTCTCTCCCTGTCTTCCTGCCTCTGGTCAGGGTGTGCTGTGAGCCAGCATCCCTTCCCTCCATGGATGCCACCTCCTTGGGAAAGTCCCTTCTGCATCTCACCTCCTTCCGTCCTTCTGCAGCTCTTCTAAACTCAAGGAGGTGTTTCCTTTCACCTATTAATAGAATTCCACAAGTGATGTATACATATATACATAAATATGTATATATATCTTTGGCTAAATAAATGAAGCAAAGAATGAAAGCTTGCCTCAGTATCTCTCAGCATTTCTGCCTTTGGGGCCAGAGCTTACCCAAGTGACTATTCCCTTCTCGAGAATAACCACAGCCTCCCTTTCTCCACACCTTGGTTTCCATGATCTGTGCATCCATGAGCTCACTTGAGTC